TATGGGCTAAAAACATTAAAATGACTAAGGCAGTATCATATAAAGAAAACATAAGATGTTTTACAGATGGTATATTACACCAGATAAGCTGGCTAAGCAGAATGAAAATTGTTCAGATAAATGTTGGAAATGTAAAAATAAGACAGGTACATTTTATCATATGTGGTGGCTTTGTGATGTAACAAAGAGATACTGGAGATCGGTCCACAAGATGATGCAAGAAATACTGAGAACTAAAATACCATTTTTGCCTGAAATATTATTACTTAACATATTTCCAAAGGAGTTTGATAAAGGTGATAGGTATTTGATAGTACACTTATCTACTGCAGCAAGAATATTATATGCAAAATATTGGAAACAAATGGAAACACCAAAGAAGCAAGAATATGTGAATAAACTGTTGGAGACGGCTGAAAATGACAAATTGTCATCGTTGATGAGAGGGACAACAGACCCAACATTTCAAAAGACGTGGAAAAAACTGTATGATTGGTACAATTTAAGTGCATAGCTTTAAGTAATGAAATTTTTGGTATTATTAATCTTTTATAGTTAAATAGACACTATGGTAAAAAGATAAGAGTATACAGAAACTTAAGCAAACTTATAGAAATTCTTTAAGTATGGTAATAGTTATAAGAAAATATACTGATCTCTTTGTATGTTTTATGTGTTTAAGTGGATGTTTGTTATATAGTATGTTTGTTGGTATATAATATGAAAAATAATAAAAGTGTACCTTATGGGTACTTAAAAAAAAAAGTGTGAGCCAGAGGCTGAAAAACTGTGAGCTAGCTCACACTAATTCTGCTTAGAGGGAACACTGGCGGCAACTACTTTGTTATATAGCAGTGATGCTTATATAATTGCTGCAGCTGCCTCTGAAGCAACTTCTTGTTATCGAGCATCCCATCTGACCTCCAGTGGCCAGTCAGGAGTCCTGCTGGGGGAAAGTCCTCCTGGCCCTGCCCAGTTTCTAAAATCATTTGGTAGGCATTAGGAAAAATGCCCATGAGCACCATTGTGTCTGCAGGAACTGTGCTGGGAACTCTTGCTGTAAAGGAAAAAATGGCTGGCTGAGGTCAAATGAGAAACATACAGTTTATGTATGTTTTGTGTAGTGCGAGAGCCAGTTTGGTGTAGTGGTTAAGTGTGCGGACTCTAATCTGAGAGAACCAGGTTTGATTCCCTACTCCTCCACTTGCAGCTGCTGGATGACCTTGGGCAAGCCATAGTTCAGTCAGAGCTGTCCTTGAAAGAGCAGTTTCTTTCAGAGCTCTCTCAGTCCCACCTTCCTCACAGGGTGTCTGTTGTGGGGAGGCAAAGGGAAAGGAGTTTGTAAACCACTCTGAGACTTCGAGTGAAGGGTGGGATATAAATCCAATCTCCTCCTCATCTTCTTCTTCATCTGAATTTGTGATAGTTCCATTCTGTGGGTATTGTATAAAAACCAAGTAGCAAAGACTTAGTCTATGGGATCCCTGTATATGATTTTTACAAAACCTCCCTTATAAATAAAAGCTGAATGCTGGTGGCACTTCTCTAGAACATTCCACACACTCCAAAATCAGTTCGCTCTCTGATCTGTCATTCAGAGGGTCTCCCTATCCACTGGCTGCTTGCCTGAGTCCTGCCTCCAACATTCTAAACATTTTGCTGTTGCCCTCCCCCCCCATAGCCAGTCAGAACACAGAGGTTATTTGCATATACAGCCTCATTGGCCTTTGCCTCGGAACACAGAGGTCATTTGCATATGCGACTTGATTGGCTTTTGCCTCTAACATTCTAAAAAGTTTTCTGTTCTGAGGTAAAATGTGTCCAATCTCCAGGTGAGGGCTGGAGATCACTCAGAATTACAACTGCTTTCCAGATGGTAGAGATCAGTTCCCCTGGAGAAAATGGTCGGCTCTGTATCCTTATATGCTGCTGAGGTGGCCCCCATATGACAGCCAATGTGACGTAGCTGTCGGGGCTTCAGAGCACGGGAGAGGCTGCAGGTGTTTGGGGGGGTGGAAAGCTGAAGAGTGAGGGGGAAATAAAGGTAGGTTGATAATTGGCTGTGAAGGAGATCGGGTTGCCAACTCCAGGTGGGAAATTCCTGGAGAGGTGAGGGATGGAGCCTGGAGAGGGTGAGGGTTCAGGAGGCGTGGGACCTCGAACAGGTACAAAGCCATAGACTCCACCCTCCAAACCAACTATTCCTTTCTGGGGAACCATTGTTGCCAGTCTCCAGGTGAGGGCTGGAGATCACTCAAAATTACAACTGTTCTTTAGGTAGCAGATATCAGTTCCTCTGGAGAAAATGGTGGACTCAGTATCATTATACCCTGCTGAGGTCGCCAAAGCAAATTGACACTGAGTGTCCAAGGCCGGGGCAGCCGCCCAGACCTTCTTTCTAGAGGCCGTTGTATTTATTTCCACAACGGGCCTTTTTCCTAGTATTGATATAAGAGTAAATTGTGTTGGTACTTTAAAAAAAATTGGACCGCTGATAAGGACAGTAAGTCAAAATCAGATTGGTTTCTCTCTTTATGTTTGTTCTATATGTTATGCCTATATGGTGATATAAAATATTTTTTGACTCTCAACTACAGAAAGAAGCAAAGAGGCATTTTAACACATCATAGAACATATAATGGAACATTTTTTCTATCACATTATTATTAAATTTATCTGAACATTGAAAATTGAGCCCTTTGATAATATGCTAATTTCGTTTATGAGGCAGCAAACCACACACTGTAGAACCATTAACTCTCCAAGTGAGGTTCTTGCTTTTCTGTCTTGTTCCTTTGCCAGTTAAGCAGTTTAGCAGTGGTAAGTAGTATTTGATATCCGGAGGGGTGATGTCTCCTTTTATATGACCCAACAAAATAACTTCTGGAACAAGGGATATATTACAGTCCAGTATTTCTTTAACAAATTGAGTACAATTTCAAAAAGTGTTGTGTTTTTGCATATGACAAAAAAATATGTTTTAAAAATCCACTGTAGATGAACCGCACCACCAACAGTGATGCCACACATTTCTGCATTTACTGGATAATCCATGAAATACTGTTAAAACAAATTTAAAGAAATTCTTTTAAACTCATAAACATAACTTTATTTATTAAATTATATTTAAAATGAAAATCTATAAATGCTTTTTTTTAAAACTTAGTTTGAGGATTAAAATCAATATTGTCTGCTTTCTGTAGGTTACTGTGGAACTCCTCCAAAATTAAAGAATGCAATCCGTGAGCCAAGTGTTGATGCAGTGAGCTTCCCTACTGGTACACTAATAGTCTACACATGTCTGATTGGTTTCTATAATGTCCATGGGAAACTAGATGTTACAACGTGCCTTTCAAATTCACAGTGGACACGCGTAGAAGACTTTTGTGAAAGTAAGCCTTTATTTTTTGCTGTACTCATTCATGTCACATCATCTTCTGTTTATGAAAAATGGGAGATGTTTTCTACTGGTTGCATAACACGTATACATTATTGTGTCCAATTTGCTTCTTTTTATATGTACTGTATAATGTACCGTATAATGTTATTTTCTTGTGTCAAATCCATGGCTTGAATCCTATGAACAAGTTCTGTGTGCATTAGATAGTGTCTGCTGTGCAATGCGTCTAGCATGCATGCAACTCATTCATAGGATCTAAGCCAGTATTTTCTACCTGAAAAGTGCTCATGAATTGGTAGAATGTCAAAATATTGAGAGCTTTTTGAATTAGTGGACAATAGCATAGAAACCATAGAAATGGAAAAACTATGAAAGTTTTTTATGAATATGTGCCAGCAAAAGGAAGTAGGATCTGATGAACACAAAACTGCACATTGTACAGTTGCATAGACAGTCGCTTTTCAGAGATGGTACTGTAAAGCTGTAATTTTTCACTGTACGGATGTTACCTTCCAGAAATGTGGTACGTTTTGCTGCAACAGACAATTCATCATTTTGAAGTGACCATCATAGCACCTGTTATAGGGTGTCCATGATGAATAGCACCAGGGGTCGTTTCATAGAAAAAGAGCTAGGGGAACTCATTAGCATAACTCATTAGCATATGCCACACCTTCTGACATCACCGGAAGTGTGTCATAAGGCCACACCCCCTGAATG